TTCTGCATTCCATGCCTTCCAGGCCAAAACATCAACCAAAGATGCAGCAACACCATTGGAACCACGGGAGCCTCAGCAGCCTGCCATTGGGGTGCTGACGCTGGGATCCTAGCTCTTCTTGAATCTCGCGCGACTGTTTGGCTCAAGGGGCTTGTCTTTCCAGCGAGGATCTACCTCTTCGAACACCGCCTTGTTGGCTGCAAACCATCAGCTCCGAAGTCACCTGTCCGTAACAAAAAGATGGCGGCCATCTCAAGCGCCAACCTGATCCCCTGCCTTCTGCTGGCCGTGTGGGCGCACTCCGCCGCGGCCTTCCGCGCGCTCAAGCCGGAGAGCGCCCACCTCCAGGCCACCGAGGCGGAGATGCGCTCGTTCCTCGACGACTCTGGCGAGGCCGACTGGGAGGTCCTCGCCGCCGCCGGCGTGCTCGTGCTCTCCGTGGCGGTGCACTGGGCCTTCGGCTGCCTGAGGCTGGCGCGCTGGTCCATGGCCGCAGGCTTCGTTGCGGCGCTGTACGCGCTCCGCTTGCTGGACGAGCGGGTCTGCGCGCTGGGCTCCATCGCGGCCGTGCTCGCCGCCGCCTCCACCGCGCTCGCCCGGGCGAGGAGCCCGCCGCCCGCCAAGAAGAAGGTCGTGGACTGAGCGGCCGGCACCCGTGCGCGCCGCCTGCGCGGAGCCCCCCCCCTGGAGCTCGCCCGAGCTGCAGGCCGGCGAGGAAGCATGACCCTCGGCTTCTTGGACTGGCCGCGTATGATCAGAGATGCACTATGAGCTCTTTCTTGCCAGTGCGGCGACTGAGATGGTTCCAACCTAATCTGGCTTACTCTCGCTTCATCCGCGGCCTAATCCGACGTTCAATTCTCCCGAATCCTTCCGACGAAGACCCCCCAGCAGTTGCCTCCTAACATGGGGGCCACCAGTTCCTGTCGTGGGAGCTGGCGCTGCGCTCGCACGCTTGAGTAGCACTGTCTTCCCCACGTGCAGATCTCAGGGAGCAGCGGTTTCCCCAGCAGTTTCGCCACGTCGCCGCCCGTGGGCGCGCAAGGGGGTGTGCTAAGGTTCCGCCGCGTTGCCGCCTGTGGGCACCTCGTGGGCGCTTGGTGAGCCGGGTCTGCAGAGGTTTCGTCACGTTGCCGCCCGTGGGTGCCTCGTGGGCGCCTCGGGGGCGCATGTTATCCTGTGCGCAGCAGGAGTTACACCGCAGAGCCACCACGTGGTTTGCATTGCGTAGCTTGTTTCGCATCGCTTGCACCTCGTAGCTTGGCCCACACAGCTTCCATCACAGAGCTTGTGCCCCGCAGCTTTCGTCACATAGCTCATACCGCAGAGCTTGCACCACATATTTTGCACCACACAGCTTGCCCCACTCAACTTACACACGCCCATGGTGCAAAGAAGTACTTGTTGGGGTCCACCCTGTGTTCGGCACGTCGAGTCATCATCTAACATCATGCTTGCTCACATAGTCTGTAGGGGCATGTGATGATGGCCACTCCGCATCTGCCAGGCCCACAGTCGTGGCAGAGTGGTTCATCTCGGGCCTCCCGGGTCCACAAAGTGTGGCAGGCGCAGCGGTCTTTCACCCGTCCAGGCTTCCAGGGTTCAGAAAGCTTGGCAGGGGCATCGAATGCTAAGAGTTCCAAGTGTCCAATGTCCAGCAACCGTGGCGGGCGCATCGGACTCTGATTTTCCGGTCTCCATGGTCCAGAATGTGTGGCATACGCAAAGCTGTTTTTATGATGATAGGCCACCGCTGTTCAGACAGAGTGGCAAGAGCATCGGGTCCTCACCATGTGAGATCTTCCAGCGCCCGAGAGTCCAGCATTGCATTGGCATGGCATTCTCGGCAGTCCTTGCCTTCAACGCCAAAATGTTCACCCAAGGTGCGCCCAGACCATTGAGACTTCTGACAGCCTTGCTTGGAAATCACCAGCCTGCTATTGCGGTGCTGTTGCCTGGACACTTGCTCTTCCTAAGGGCCGCGTGATGAATGGCGCCACCCGTGGAACGCGGCGGAGGCCGCCGTAGGCGGCCTCCCCAACCCCCCAACAAAAACAACAAACACAACCCCGTGGCCTCGCTTCTGTTCCCGATGGCAGGACCAACCCAGTCCAGAAAGAGTGGCAGGGGCACGGTGCCCTCACCGCTCCAGATCTCTCAGGTCCAGAAGGTGTGGCATTAACACGGGAGTTTCTGCATTCCAGGCCTTCCAGGCCAGAACATCAACCAAAGATGCTCGGGAGCCTCAGCAGCCTGCCATCGGGGTGCTGATGCTGGGATCCTTGCTCTTCTTGAACGTCGCGCGACCGTTTGGCTCAGAGGGCCTGTCTCTCCAGCGAGGATCCACCTCTTCGACAACCGCCTTGTTGGCTGCAAATCACCGGCTGCGAAGCCACCTTTCCGTAACAAAAAGATGGCCGCCAGCACCAGCGCCAACCTGATCCCCTGCCTTCTGCTGGCCGTGTGGGCGCACTCCGCCGCGGCCTTCCGCGCGCTCAAGCCGGAGAGCGCCCACCTCCAGGCCACCGAGGCGGAGATGCGCTCGTTCCTCGACGACTCTGGCGAGGCCGACTGGGAGGCCCTCGCCGCCGCCGGCGTGCTCGTGCTCTCCGCGGCGGTGCACTGGGCCTTCGGCTGCCTGAGGCTGGCGCGCTGGTCCGTGGCCGCAGGCTTCGTTGCGGCGCTGTACGCGCTCCGCTTGCTGGACGAGCGGGTCTGCGCGCTGGGCTCCATCGCGGCCGTGCTCGCCGCCGCCTCCACCGCGCTCGCCCGGGCGAGGAGCCCGCCGCCCGCCAAGAAGAAGGTCGTGGACTGAGCGGCCGGCACCCGTGCGCGCTGCCTGCGAGCAGCAGGCCAGCGAGGAATGATGTCTTTCTCGGCTTCTTGGACTGGCCACGTATGGTCGACCTGGAGCTTGTTCTTGCCAGTGCGACGACTGAGATGGTTCAAACCGGGGGTTCGCCTGTCGCACTCACTCATTTTCCTTGGGCGATGGAGCACCCCCGATCTTACACGGGATGGCTCAATCGCTTCGTTGGCGTGGCACGCCTGCCAGGCATGGTGCGCCAGTGTTGAAAAAGATGGTGGAGAGCTGAAGTTTTGTCAAGCATGTGAGTCTGAGGGAACTGGGGACACGAGTGCGTCTCTCCTCGTCGGCGCTTCCGACGTTCTGGATGGCACAGGGAGGGAGCTGGACGAGAGCAAGCTTGAGAATGAGCCTGGCAGGTGTCCTGTTAAAGGTCGCGTGAGAGAGCGGCCTTGTCAGCCGCTTTCCTTCGGGTGATGCAGTTTCGATATCTGGTCAGACTTCCAATGGAGGGTCACAGGTGTGCCCCCGCAGAGTCGTTCCAACGGTGGCCACCAGCTGCCGCCGTGGGTGCTGGCGCTGCGCTCGCACGCTCTTGAGCTGCGCTGTCGCTCCACGACCAGAGATCGCAGGGTGCCGCGGCTTCCCCCCCCCCCCCGAGCACGTGCAGGAGGAGGAGGAGGAGGAGGAGGAGGAGGAGGAGGAGGAGGAGGAAGGAGGAGGAGGAGAGGAGGAGGAGGAGGAGAGGAGGAGGAGGAGGAGGAGGAGGAGGAGGAGGAGGAGGAGCAGGGGGAGCAGGAGGAGAACTCTTGGTGCTGAGGCTGCCTGGGGATCAGGCTGGGTGTGCCGAGGTTTCGCCGCGCTGCCGCACGTGGGTGCCTCGGGTGCGCCCCGCGGGTGCGCCCCGCGGGTGCGCCGAGGCCCCGCCACGCCGCCGCGCGAGACCACACCGTGGGCGCCCCGAGGGGAGCCTGCGCGTGGCGGGTGCGCTGCGCGAGGGCGTCGCGGCGTTGGCCCTGCGTGGGCTCCTCGGGGGCGCAGGCACAGCCTGTGCACGGCGGGGCGCAGGCCGCGGATGCACCACGCAGCTTGCACCATCTGGCTGTCTTCGCATCTCCTCCTCCTCCTCCTCCTCCTCCTCCTCCTCTCCTCTTCCTCCTCCTCCTCCTCCTCCTCCTCCTCCCCCCCCTCCTCCTCCTCCTCCTCCTCCTCCTCCTCCCTCCTCCTCCTCCTTCCTCCTCCCTCCTCCTCCTCCTCCTCCTCCTCCTCCTCCTCCTCCTCCTCCCTCCTCCCTCCCCCTGCATCGCACCGCCCGCCCAGCACAGCTTCTGGCACGTCGCTAGCGCCACACGGCCTTCGCCGCACGGCCTCCGTCGCACGGCTTGCGCCACGCAGCTTTCGCCACACGGCTCATGCCGCAGAGCTGGCACCAGATAGCTTGCAGGCGGCCTGCCAGCTCAAGGGTACCCTTGTGTCCTGCCAGTTCAAGGTCGACCCTGGCAGCTCAAGGGTACCCTTGTGTCCTGCGTCTCGCGACCCATGCACACTCCAATGGCGATGCGGCCCTCGGAAGGGTCTTGTGTCCTCTCTCGCGTGCCCTCTGCCATCAAGCCGACCGTACACCACGTAGCTTGCAAACCATAGCTTACACAGCGTAGCTTGCACATCCACGGTGCAACGACTTTTTTGGGGGGCCCACGTCGGTAAACTTGCTGCTCTGGAGTTGCGCTGTTCGTTACGTCGGCATGTCATCGAACACAGTGGTTGTTCACTAAGGCATTCGGTGATGGCCGTTTCACACCTTCCAGACCCAGAATCGTCGCATAGTGGTCCATCTCGGGTCTTCCCAGGTCCACAGAGTGTTGCAGGCGCATCGGGTTTTCACATGTCCGGGCCCCCCAGATTCAGAGAGAGAGAGAGAGAGAAAGAAAGAAGCATCGAATTCTTAGAGTTCGGAGTGATGCCCAGAAGTCGTGGCGGGCGCATCGGATTCTGAGTGCTGCAGATCATCCAGGTCCAGACGTGTGGCATATGCTTTGTTTCTACTCACGATGACAGGTCCCGCCATGTCAAGAAAGAGTTGCAGGCCCACGGGGCTCTCATCATTCCATATGTCCCAGGTCCAGAGAGTGGCATTACATTGGCATGGAATGTCCTGCACTCCATGCCATCCATGCCAAGATGTTCACCCAAGGTGTGCCCAGACCATCGAGACTTCTGAAAGCCACACTGGAAGATCATCCGCCTGCCATTCGGGTGCTGGTGCCGGGATACTTGCTCTTCCTGAGGTTCGCGTGACCAATTGGCCCCTTGACCCGCTTGGCTCAAAGGGCTTGTCTCTCCAGCGAGGACCCATCTCTTCGACAACCGCCTGTTGGCTGCAAATCACTGGCTCCGCAGCCACCTGTCCGTGATAAAGATGGCCGCCAGCACCAGCGCCAACCTGATCCCCTGCCTTCTGCTGGCCGTGTGGGCGCACTCCGCCGCGGCCTTCCGCGCGCTCAAGCCGGAGAGCGCCCACCTCCAGGCCACCGAGGCGGAGATGCGCTCGTTCCTCGACGACTCTGGCGAGGCCGACTGGGAGGTCCTCGCCGCCGCCGGCGTGCTCGTGCTCTCCGCGGCGGTGCACTGGGCCTTCGGCTGCCTGAGGCTGGCGCGCTGGTCCATGGCCGCAGGCTTCGTTGCGGCGCTGTACGCGCTCCGCTTGCTGGACGAGCGGGTCTGCGCGCTGGGCTCCATCGCGGCCGTGCTCGCCGCCGCCTCCACCGCGCTCGCCCGGGCGAGGAGCCCGCCGCCCGCCAAGAAGAAGGTCGTGGACTGAGCGGCCGGCACCCGTGCGCGCTGCCTGCGCGGAGCCCCCCCCCTGGAGCTCGCACGAGCTGCAGGCTGGCGAGGAAGCATGACCCTCGGCTTCTTGGACTGGCCGCGTATGATCAGAGATGCACTACGAGCTCTTTCTTGCCAGTGCGGCGACTGAGATGGTTCCAACCTAATCTGGCTTACTCCCGCTCCATCCGCGGCCTAATCCGACGTTTACTTCTCCCGAATTCTTCCGACGAAGACCCCCCAGTAGTTGCCTCCTAACATGGGGGCCACCAGTTCCTGTCGTGGGAGCTGGCGTTGCGCTCGCACGCTTGAGTAGCACTGTCTTCCCCACGTGCAGACCTCAGGGCGCAGCGGTTTCACCAGCAGTTTCGCCACGTCGCCGCCCGTGGGCGCGCAAGGGGGTGTGCCAAGGTTCCCCCGCGTTGCCGCCTGCGGGCGCCTTGTGGGCGCTCGGTGAGCCGGGTTTACCGAGGTTTCGTCACGTTGCCGCCCGTGGGCGCCTCGTGGGCGCCTCGGGGGCGCATGTTATCCTGTGCGCAGCAGGAGTTGCACCGCAGAGGCACCACGTGGTTTGCATTGCGTAGCTTGCCTCTCATCGCTTGCACCACATAGCTGTGCCCACACAGCTTACATCACATAGCTTGTGCCCCACAGTTTTCGCCGACATAGCTCATACCGCAGAGCTTGCACCACATACTTTGCACCACATAGCTTGCCCCACTCAACTTACACACGCCCATGGTGCAAAGAAGTACTTGTTGGGGTCCACCCTGTGTTCGGCACCTCGAGGTATCATCTAACATCATGCTTGTTCACATAGTCTTTAGGGGCATGTGATGATGGCCACTCGACATCTGCCAGGCCCACAATCGTGGCAGAGTGGTTCATCTCGGGCCTCCCGGGTCCGCAAAGTGTGGCAGGCGCAGCGGTCTTTCACCCGTCCAGGCTTCCGGGGTTCAGAAAGCTTGGCAGGGTTATCGCATGCTTAGAGTTCCAAGTGTCCAATGTCCAGCAACCGTGGCGGGCGCATCGGATTCTGTTTTTCCGGGTCTCCATGGTCCAGAGTGTGTGGCATACGCATAGTTGTTGTTTACGATGATAGGCCCCCCGGTTCAGACAGAGTGGCATGGGCAACGGGTCCTCACCATGTCAGATCGTCCAGCGCCAGAGAGTCTGGCATTGCACTTGCATGGCATTCTCGGCAGCCCATGACTTCAACGCCAAAATGTTCACCCAAGGTGCGCGCAGACCATTGAGACTTCTGACAGCCTTGCTGGACAATCACTATTACTGTGCTGTTGCCGGGACACTTGCTCTTCCTAAGGGTCGCGTGATGAGTGGCGCCGCCCGTTGAACGCGGCGGGGGTCGCCGTAGGCCCCCCAACAAAACCCAGCAAGTCCCAAAACATCCAAAACAAACACAAAGAACCCCCCCCCCCCAAACGCAAACACAAACACAACCCCGTGGCCTCGCTTCTGTTCACGATGGCAGGACCACCCAGTCCAGAAAGAGTGGCAGGGGCACGGTGCCCCCAACGCTCCGAAACTCTCAGGTCCAGAAGGTGTGGCATTGACACGCGAGTTTCTGCATTCCATGCCTTCCAGGCCAAAACATCAACCAAAGATGCAGCAAGACCATGGGAACCACGGGAGCCTCAGCAGCTTGCCATTGGGGTGCTGACGCTGGGATCCTTGCTCTTCTTGAACCTCGCGCGACCGTTTGGCTCAGAGGGCCTGTCTCTCCAGCGAGGATCCACCTCTTCGAACACCGCCTTGTTGGCTGCAAACCATCAGCTCCGAAGTCACCTGTCCGTAATAAAAAGATGGCTGCCATCTCCAGCGCCAACCTGATCCCCTGCCTTCTGCTGGCCGTGTGGGCGCACTCCGCCGCGGCCTTCCGCGCGCTCAAGCCGGAGAGCGCCCACCTCCAGGCCACCGAGGCGGAGATGCGCTCGTTCCTCGACGACTCTGGCGAGGCCGACTGGGAGGTCCTCGCCGCCGCCGGCGTGCTCGTGCTCTCCGCGGCGGTGCACTGGGCCTTCGGCTGCCTGAGGCTGGCGCGCTGGTCCATGGCCGCAGGCTTCGTTGCGGCGCTGTACGCGCTCCGCTTGCTGGACGAGCGGGTCTGCGCGCTGGGCTCCATCGCGGCCGTGCTCGCCGCCGCCTCCACCGCGCTCGCCCGGGCGAGGAGCCCGCCGCCCGCCAAGAAGAAGGTCGTGGACTGAGCGGCCGGCACCCGTGCGCGCTGCCTGCGCGGAGCCCCCCCCCTGGAGCTCGCACGAGCTGCAGGCTGGCGAGGAAGCATGACCCTCGGCTTCTTGGACTGGCCGCGTATGATCAGAGATGCACTACGAGCTCTTTCTTGCCAGTGCGGCGACTGAGATGGTTCCAACCTAATCTGGCTTACTCCCGCTCCATCCGCGGCCTAATCCGACGTTTACTTCTCCCGAATTCTTCCGACGAAGACCCCCCAGTAGTTGCCTCCTAACATGGGGGCCACCAGTTCCTGTCGTGGGAGCTGGCGTTGCGCTCGCACGCTTGAGTAGCACTGTCTTCCCCACGTGCAGACCTCAGGGCGCAGCGGTTTCACCAGCAGTTTCGCCACGTCGCCGCCCGTGGGCGCGCAAGGGGGTGTGCCAAGGTTCCCCCGCGTTGCCGCCTGCGGGCGCCTTGTGGGCGCTCGGTGAGCCGGGTTTACCGAGGTTTCGTCACGTTGCCGCCCGTGGGCGCCTCGTGGGCGCCTCGGGGGCGCATGTTATCCTGTGCGCAGCAGGAGTTGCACCGCAGAGGCACCACGTGGTTTGCATTGCGTAGCTTGCCTCTCATCGCTTGCACCACATAGCTGTGCCCACACAGCTTACATCACATAGCTTGTGCCCCACAGTTTTCGCCGACATAGCTCATACCGCAGAGCTTGCACCACATACTTTGCACCACATAGCTTGCCCCACTCAACTTACACACGCCCATGGTGCAAAGAAGTACTTGTTGGGGTCCACCCTGTGTTCGGCACCTCGAGGTATCATCTAACATCATGCTTGTTCACATAGTCTTTAGGGGCATGTGATGATGGCCACTCGACATCTGCCAGGCCCACAATCGTGGCAGAGTGGTTCATCTCGGGCCTCCCGGGTCCGCAAAGTGTGGCAGGCGCAGCGGTCTTTCACCCGTCCAGGCTTCCGGGGTTCAGAAAGCTTGGCAGGGTTATCGCATGCTTAGAGTTCCAAGTGTCCAATGTCCAGCAACCGTGGCGGGCGCATCGGATTCTGTTTTTCCGGGTCTCCATGGTCCAGAGTGTGTGGCATACGCATAGTTGTTGTTTACGATGATAGGCCCCCCGGTTCAGACAGAGTGGCATGGGCAACGGGTCCTCACCATGTCAGATCGTCCAGCGCCAGAGAGTCTGGCATTGCACTTGCATGGCATTCTCGGCAGCCCATGACTTCAACGCCAAAATGTTCACCCAAGGTGCGCGCAGACCATTGAGACTTCTGACAGCCTTGCTGGACAATCACTATTACTGTGCTGTTGCCGGGACACTTGCTCTTCCTAAGGGTCGCGTGATGAGTGGCGCCGCCCGTTGAACGCGGCGGGGGTCGCCGTAGGCCCCCCAACAAAACCCAGCAAGTCCCAAAACATCCAAAACAAAAACAAAGACCCCCCCCCCAAACGCAAACACAAACACAACCCCGTGGCCTCGCTTCTGTTCACGATGGCAGGACCACCCAGTCCAGAAAGAGTGGCAGGGGCACGGTGCCCCCAACGCTCCGAAACTCTCAGGTCCAGAAGGTGTGGCATTGACACGGGAGTTTCTGCATTCCATGCCTTCCAGGCCAGAACATCAACCAAAGATGCAGCAAGACCATGGGAACCACGGGAGCCTCAGCAGCCTGCCATTGGGGTGCTGATGCTGGGATCCTTGTTCTTCTTGAATCTCGCGCGACTGTTTGGCTCAAAGGGCTTGTCTTTCCAGCGAGGATCCACCTCTTCGAACACCGCCTTGTTGGCTGCAAACCATCAGCTCCGAAGTCACCTGTCCGTAATAAAAAGATGGCTGCCATCTCCAGCGCCAACCTGATCCCCTGCCTTCTGCTGGCCGTGTGGGCGCACTCCGCCGCGGCCTTCCGCGCGCTCAAGCCGGAGAGCGCCCACCTCCAGGCCACCGAGGCGGAGATGCGCTCGTTCCTCGACGACTCTGGCGAGGCCGACTGGGAGATCCTCGCCGCCGCCGGCGTGCTCGTGCTCTCCGCGGCGGTGCACTGGGCCTTCGGCTGCCTGAGGCTGGCACGCTGGTCCTTGGCCGCAGGCTTCGTTGCGGCGCTGTACGCGCTCCGCTTGCTGGACGAGCGGGTCTGCGCGCTGGGCTCCATCGCGGCCGTGCTCGCCGCCACCTCCACCGCGCTCGCGAGGGCGAGGAGCCCGCCGCCCGCCAAGAAGAAGGTCGTGGACTGAGCGGCCGGCACCTGTGCGCGCTGCCTGCGCGGAGCGGCAGGCGGGCGAGGAAGGATGACCTTCTGGATTGTTTGGACTGTCCGCGTATTGTCAAGCACGAACTCGTTCTTGCAGGCGTGACCATTGAGTTGGCTACCAAACCTAAGTTCCCTTAGAGGTGGCACGCCCTTTCGCTTACACGGAATGACTCAAACACTTTCCTGGCGTGGCACGCCTGTCCGTCGTGGTGCGTCACGATAGAGACAGTGTTGAGAGTTGAAGGTTTGAAGCAGATGGAGTTGAATTGGAGGCACGAGGATTTTCCCTCGTGCCTCGGTTCTTTATTTTGACGACCAACGACTGCGGGTGACGACGACGACGGCAGACGACAGACGACGACAGACATCGACGACAGACGAGGACGGCGGCATAAGAACATGACAGACGGCTCACGAAGACTGAGACGGCGAACGTCTTCGTGGGTGGGCTCCCGCGTAGTGTCAGTCGGCCGGCCGCTGTGCTCTCAGGCCAAAAGCCGTCCTGCTTCCTGAGCTGCAACGCGAGCCACCCGCAGCCCTGCGACACCATCTGCGAGGCTGCCCCATCCGCGGCTCCTCGACAGCCCCCCCCCGGCCGTCCCTCCGGCGGCGCATCGGCGGCTCGGAAAGCGGCGCGCAGGTCGGCGGCGGCGTCCGTCGGTGGCGTCGTCGTTGTCCAATCCTGTTCAACGTCGTCGTCGGGCATCACCGACGGCAGGGGTTAGGAGGGAGGAGGCAGGAGGTCAGGGGAACGAGGAGGAGGAGGAGGCTAGGAAGGGGGGGGCGAGTAGGACAAAGAGGCGAGAGAGTGCGGAGGAGCAGTGAGGAATATGAGAAGGGAGGATGGAGGATGGAGGAGGGGTGGGCGCGAACGAAAGGAGTAGCCAGGAAGAGGAAGTAGGATTAGGATCGGATAAGCAGCGGGACTTGTGTAGCAGTTGTAGTAGTCGTAGTAGTTGTTGTAATTGTAGTAGGAGCAATGGTAGTAGTAGTCGTCGTCGTCGTCGTCGTCGTCGTCGTCGTTGTCGTCGTCGCCTGCGAAGGCCTGCGCGCGGTAACCGCATGCCCGCGATGATCAAGCATCCCCCCCACGTGCCTTCTGAGCATGATTATCTTTTGGGTACTTATATTCAATAGACGGGTGGAGCGGCGAGGCCGAACGTTATTTCCACACGGGAAGGTACGAATCATAAATGGAATAAAGTTGTAATGGTTAACATTCTTCCTCGCTCCGCGCCCCAGCTGAATTTGTTGATCGCCGTCATTGATAACCACCCTCAAGCAGCAACCATGACTACTCCTACTCCTACACGACGAGTAGAACACCACAAACAAATGAGTTTTACAACCTAGAATTTGAAGGGTCCGGAACTTCGATTTCTCTGGGAATCACTTCGTCATCATCATCCTCCTCCCTCTCCTCGTCGTCCTCCTCCTTCTCTTTCCCTCCCCCTGCTTCTCTTCCTGCCCTTAGTTGCTCCTTCTGCTGCTTATATACGAGGACGATTTCTCAGGCGTCGTGATCCTACATCCGTGCACCGTACGTGCCTACATGCGACTTGCCAGGGACACTCTTTGATTTTCCCCCCCGGGACCCCGAACTTTGTTCTCCCAGTGGTGCGTTTGTCACCCGCACATGGTCCATCTTGGCAAGAGCAGACGGCGCGAACCCCCGTGGCCGACGCTCAAGATGACAGTTGTGTAACATCAAAATGAACAGGGGCTACCTGTCCTCTGA